GTTTCTCTAGTCTAGCCGGACTAACACAGCCTTCAACAAGATAGATTGACACAGTGGCTGGAAAATTGGGCTTACACAAAAATCCATTGTGAGGATGGGCAGGACTTGGCAGTGTTTTGTTCTGTTATACTTAGGGTGATTATGAGTTGGAACTGACTCGATGGCACCTAACAACGCTAAGGCGACACAACAAATAAGTGCCAGGTGAGATCCTGGATTTGATCCCAGACAGGTAAAAGGACTAGTAGAAAAACCAGTGAAATCTGATTTAATAGTATTATGCCATCCTAGTTTTTTGGTTTAAGAATTTGTATGATTGATTGTAAAGAGGAAGCCAACTTGATTAAGGGTTTATAGGAATTCTTTTTACTGTGTTTGTAACTTTTGTAAAAATCTGCAATTGTTTTAAAATAAGAAAATAAGAGGGGAAGGTGTTAATAAAACAAGCTTATTACAATTCTTGATGGTATGATTCCTTTGTCCTGTAACCCCAGAGGGCCACTCTGAGGTGTAATTGACCCAACAGCAACTGGTTTTTTGGTTTGTCATTAATCGTAGGAACTATATATTAATGTGGACCAATGCCCTATGGGGACATCTAGTAAAGTACGCAGTTCATCTGAAATGAAAGGTAGACGTTTCATCCCCACCTGAATGCTGACAAGTGTGCCTGCAAGCATGTAGAAGCCATCAAGGTTCGCTCTCGCACAATATGTTAGTGTGGTGCCACCGATGACAGCTCACAGTGACCAAATGCCATCTGCATTTATACATGTCAGACAGTCATTCCTCTGACTACCCTCACCTTGCCTGACTTCAATGATTCTGTGCCCAGGGAACACACCTGGCAAAATAAACTATTTTCATATAACCCACATATATCCCAAAGTGAATAGGCTTTGGTGCACTGCAATTTGAATTTTAGCCCCGTAGGGTTTATTTGCTTTGGGTTTTTTGTTTTGTTTTGTTTTGGGTTTTTTTTGCTGCTGCTGTTGTTGGTTTGTTTACTTTGAACGTGCGCTTATATACAAACTTGAGGTGCGGAAGGCTGCCACAGAAATGACCAAGGGTCCCCAATACCAAGGATTTTGCTTTAAACACAAATAAACACATAGTGGAATAACCTAGGAATCTTATTCCTCTCGGAGTCACAGTTTCGAACACATCCTTATAGCTTATCTACTTTTGCCTCTCACCCCAGGAAGCTACTATCCAGACAGAATTAATACTAAGTAACTTGGCTATTTCTTGGCTTCTAATAGATATGTTCACACGATAAATATAAGGGGGCTTCAAAAAGTTCGTGGAAAAATTCCATGATTTTTTCAATTCTATTTTTCCATTAACTTTTTGAGCTCTCTTTGTATATACTTTTCTATTGTTCTATTCTCATGCAAAACAATCTGTTTGTAACAGATATGAGATATCATTAAAATGTCTGATGCATCTGGCTTAAAAATCCAATTCTTACTTTACGTATTCCTGCATGTGTTCACAGGTTCCCCTTAACTTCAAAAGAAACTTTTCAAGAGAAAAAGAAGATGCACGCAGGAAAGGTGGCCATACATTTTTTAGTAGTCCTTTTCTAAGCTATTATAATAACAGGGCTGTTGGACAAATCTCTCTCACGAAGAACTAAAATAAGACAAATGATATTAAACCACACATTTCCAAGAGGGGTTTATGCTTTAAAACCACTTTTTTCTAGGGGCATAAAGGTGACATTGCCTCAATAGAGAACACGTGAAAAACACAGAAAATCTAGAAGGGTAATTTTACTTTTAATTCACTATTTAGACAACAAAGCAAAACAAAATAATGGCCTATTTCCTTCAAGTCTTTTTTCCTCCCTGTTTTTATATCTTTATGTAACTATTTAAATACAAGATATTATAATCACAGTGTAAAAAATATATAGTTTTATATAATTTCTCAGTTCTTTTAAAGGATTTCATCAGTATTTCAAAGATTTTTAATGGCTGAAAATGTATTTAGATCTACACTTTAAAAAATGCAATCAAAGCTAAATTAAAGGTTTGAACACATCATTCTGCCTTGGAAATTCTATATCTTGAAACAATCCAAATTAAGTTGGTTAGCTTTAACAATAACTCTCTTGATGTACACTGGTACAGATAGGAACTGGAAACACAGGAAATCCAGGACAGATGAACCCTTCAGGACCAGTGGTGCGAGTGGCGATATTGGGAGGGTGGAGGGAAGGTGGAGTAGAAAGGGGTAACCGATTACAAGGATCTACATATAACCCTCTCCCAGGGGAAGGACAACAGAAAAGTGGGTGAAGGGAGGCATGGGACAGTGTAAGACATGAAAAAATAATGATAATTCATAAATTATCAAGGTTTCATGAGGGAGATAGGGGTGGGAAAGGAGGGGAAAAAATGAGGAGCTGATACCAAGGGCTCAAGTAGAAAGCAAATGTGATGAGAATGATGAGGCAAACAAATTACAAATGTGCTTGACACAATGGATGTATGGATGAATTGTGATGAGTTGTACAAGCCCCCAATAAAATGATTTTAAAAAATAAGACTAAAATATGTACAAATATGCTTGATACAACTGATGTGTGGAATGTTATGAGTTGTAAGAACCTCCAATAAAATGATTTTTTTATTAAAAAAATGCTATTCAAAAAAGGTAATGAAACAACAGTTGCAGTTTAATAACCCTTTTCTTTAGCTTTTATAATAATTTAGTTCACTAAACTTTCTTGGGCAATTATCAATAATTTCAGCTTCTCTTTTTTCTTTGATTCTCTATTCTCACAAATACTCAATTACTGAGTTTGGAAGAGGAAGTTTTGAAACTAAGGCTTAGTTATATTGGAAGCATAGATTTTAATATGCCACTATTAACTTATAGTACAGATTTGGCAATACTTTGGTGGGTTTGCAAACGCAAACCCTCAAGCATTAAGAAGAGAAGTACTTGATGGACTTAACAAATTTTGAATGAGATTTTACTGTCTAAAAGAGAAAAAACGTAACATCTAAATATTTGTTTTATTGACAAGGAACTTTCCAGTAAATTATCTCTCTACCCTTAATAGTGTCTTGTGAAGTCCGTACAGAATCTATATTATAAATGAGAAAATTGAAGCTCAGAAAGTTAATAAAGGAGAAAAAATAAGCTGACCTTAAATCTTAGTTTTTATAATTAATCTAGTTGGTTTTATTTCAGTTTCAAAATCATGACTCTATGGATTTCCCCAAGTTTGAATTAATATTAACTTGTCAAACCCCTCACCATACAATTCATTAAAGAAAAAAAGCAGACAGATTATGTGACTTGTTACATTACACAGCTTGCAAGCAGCAAAATCGACCTCTGGTTTCTTAACTTCCAGTCTAGCACTCTTTGCAATACACCAATTAAAATAACTCTCACATCTTTGTATTCTAACAATAAATATGCAAGTTTTCCAGGAAAACACCTAATAATCACAGAATCTCCTCTGGAGTTCATAGTAACACACGTTGAAGTCCCAACCATTGAGACGGCACTTTGAGATGTTAAGTAAATGTATACATGAGTAAGGGAATGGGGATATATATCTGTAGATCTCTATATGTATCATTTTCCCATTCAGATATACTTAGATTTCTCTTTTTTTCTCCATCATGAGGGCAAAATCTCTCTTACTGATGCGCTAAAGGCCCTGCTTGCCATGGTCTCAGTACAAGAGTAAGGGCAGCAGTCGCGGTGTCAAGTCCAGAACAGGATAACACAATTTGGCAGCCCACTGTCTAAACTACTCAATCCCTAATTAGACATCTAATTTCTAGGACAGCCTTTGAGCTTGCTATCAGGGGGAGGAAGTCCAAACGGAAATGGAGCCCTGAGAAGGAGAGCAGAACCGAAAGGACCTAGTCTTGGGTTGGGGATAACGTCACTCTAGCGTCCGGCTTCCCGCGTTGCCGGGCAACCGCGGCCAGAGAGCGAAACTACCGCAAAAGGAGGGGATGACGTGACAGGTGTCGGCGCGGTCCTCCCACTAGGGGGACGTTACGTCACCACGCACTAACGCAACGTCGCCCCGCTCCGAGTGAGGGAATTTGCTCAGCCGGTTGACCCTGAGAAAGGAAGTGGCCGGCGCTCTCGGAGAGGGCGGGAAAAGGAAGGCGGTAGGAGGGAGGGGACCAGAATGAGAAGGACCGGGCCGAGTGGCAGCCTGGCGAGGGGCGCTGTCGTCGGTTACCTCGGGAGCAGGAGCCGGAGCAGTCGCTTTATGAAGTGCCCGGATGAAGCTCCAGCACCCACGCGCCTTCCGCGTTATGTGCAGCGCCATCTTGGGAGGGGCGGGGCCTCTTGTCATATGACGTCAGCGTCGTCGGGAACAAGCCCCGCGTCGCCAGTGTTTGCGGCGCATGCCCAAGTCCTCCCAGCGGGCTTGTGCAGCCGGCATACTAGAGCCGGTGGAGCCGGGAAGGGGTGAGGCTAGTGTTTTTCCAGAAATCTTCATAAAAGCCAAATTCACTGCCATTGAGTAGATGCGATTCTAGTGACTCTGTAAGACAGGGCGGAACTGTCCCTGTAAGTTTCCGAGGCTGTAACTCTTTACAGCAGTAGAAAACCCGTCTTTCATCCCCGGACAGCTGTGGTTCCCAACTGCTGCGTTTGCAGTTAGCAGCCACCATGCCAACAGGGATCTTCCTAGAGATCCACCTAGTCTTTTTCGCATGTTGTGTGGACAGAGAATCTCCTTTGGGTATTGCAGGGGGAGAGGGTTGGGGGGGTGCTTTAAAAATTTCACGGGAAAATGGGATTTTTTTTTCACACTTAACGAAAATTTGAAGCCCCATAATAGTAGCAGCTATGCCATCAGGGCGGGGCTTTCGACTGCAGTGACAGAAACTCAGGGGCTTTCTCACAACATACTGGCGGACGTCATCTTCTTTAGAGAGGTTGAAGAGCTTGCGGATTCTGCTGGCTCTTTTGGGCCCCAGGCGACGAGGCACAGTTGTATCAGTCAGTCCTGGGATATCTTTCTCCCCTTTCTT